AAAATTTATTTTAAAATTTCTCCTTTATGTTTCATTAGTTTTGGCAGAAAATATTTTGTCTTATCTATCAAGAGTCGAGAGATAAAAAAATCAACTGGAGAAAGTAGGGAAGAAGCAGACAACTGAAGAAATCGACACTGATCAATTTGTTTTTAAAACTAATGATTTTTCTGTGGACGCAGGTTTATAAGTTTTTGAAATCGACAAATTCTTTCAATCGATGAATATTTAAGGGGGCGAAGAACTCTCCAAAATTTACAATTTTTCTGTGGATGCAGGAAATAGTTTATATTGCTTATATCGAAGACTGGGAGCGGTAACATTATTGTTTCATTCAATTCCCAACAGTGAAGTCTATAGTGAAGATATAACTTTGTTCGAAGATGAATCAAACGAAAATCTCAAGAAAGACGTTCTACAACTTTTCATCAAGGACGTCGTCTGCATCATATTATCAAATGTAGTAGTATTACTACTTGGAGGGTCATTTTATTTGATTTATTAATTGAGATGATACACTACCTGTAGGGTCATTTTACCGTATCGTCAATTAAGATTATATCATCTATCCAGAAAACACCTAGAAGACGCTATGTTGCTCGATTGAAGTACTATCTTTATTCACTGCCAAGATGACATCAAGAGAAATCATGCATCGCGAGTTCATATTCACACATCGTGGGAATAATATACATGCCCCGCAGAAAATCAGGCATCGCGGAAAGATATTCATGCCTCGCTGGAAAACCATGCACAGTGAGTTAATATTTATGCATCGCGGAAGATCATGCATCACGAGTTAAGATTCACACATCGCAGGAAGATATTCATGCCCCGCAGAAGATCATGCATAGCGGGAAGATATTCATACCCCACAAAAAATCATGCATCGCGAGTTAATATTCACACATCACGGGAAGATATTCATGCCCCACAAGAAATTACACATCAGGGGAAGATATTCATGCCTCGTAGAAAATCATGCATCACGGAAAGTCATGCATCGCGAGTTAATATTCATGCATCGCAGGAAATCATGCATCACGAGTCAATATTCATGCATCGCAACGAGAAATATTCATACATCGCGAGAAGAAATTCATGCATCGCAAAAAATTGATGTATTGCGGAAAACAAATCATGCATTGCGGAGAAGAAGTCATACATTGCAAAAGAAAATTTATGCATCACGGAAAAGTCATGCATTGCGAAAGAGAAATCATGCACTGCCAGAGAAGGAAATCGTGCATCTCAAGAGAAATATTTACCCCTCAACATCAACTGCATCTTTAATTTGGCAAGAGCGAATGCCAAGAGAATCATGGAAGACGACATCAAGAGAAATATCAACACTGCATCAACTTAAATTTATTTTGACATCAAATGAAGAGTATATTGAAAATTATATCCCAAACATAATACATAAGCTTTATTTTCTTTACGTCAAACCAATGAAGTTTGATGCCAAATGTTGAAGAAGAGAAATCAAGTGTCAACACAGTAAAGACACTGTTTCCCATTTGAATTGCATTTTAATTCTGACGAATTTTATTTCAATCTTTATCGAGAGTATCCAAAAGGATGAATTCTCCCAAAACCACAGGTGTGGATGACATCAGAAAGAATGCAGCACAATGTGGAACTTTTTCTTAGCAACGAACTTGGATAAAGTCCAAAGAGGAGTGTCAAACTCTTAGGACGCGAGCAGGAGAACGACTTCCACCACAATCAAACCACACCCCCTATTAGAAGGCACATGATTTTTTTCTTTGACTTTTGTTAGTTTTGATTTTGCGTTTGGAATTCCTGTCTACCGGAAGCCAGTTTCTAATCTGAGTGACGATGCACCAAGAGTTTTGAAAATTATGTCCGTGTAAGTTCTTAATTATGGGTGTGAAGTACACCACATTCATGACTAAGAGGTTACAAACCTCCTTTTCACACTCGATTAATTTATCACTTATCCAGAACCAAAGGTTATCTAGATTTTCTTTTCAATCGATCGAGTCGAACTACACGCATCGTGATTCCTTGAGTCTAAGGATATGTTGGCGTGCTCAATGTTGAAAAGTTGGTTGTATTCCAACGTTCTCTTTTAAATTCTATTCATGAGCATTTCGATCCCTTCATAATTCGGTATCGAGATGGATTTGGACTCTTTCAAAATCATGCATTAAATCAAGCGTATTAAACTACAAGCGGCCTGAATTCTCATATAGTCTGAGATATGTAGGAAATTCATTTCTGGGGTTCGACTATAATTCTTAAAGTCCGTACCAAATTCCTCCCTTAAAGATGAATTCGTGGTCAGTCAAAATTGGCTTGGTCAATTTCATTTTTGTCGAATTTCTTGTATCAATCCAAGTAAAACGAGGAACAGTTGTTGACACTCAATTTTGACCCTCCCCGATTGAAATTAATTCACCTGTTTCTTGAATTCCAAACAAATTTGAAATAGTTGACTTTTTAAAATTATAAGTGGCTTAACTATTTTATATTGTTAAAATTTAGGAAGCTCGTTAATTAATTGGTATTAATTCATCCTAATCGAATCTTCAAAAACTATTTCTTTCGTTTACGTATTTAATTCATTGGACTTGTGGGTCAATGACATTTTTTTGCCATCCTTTTGTCTCTTCCAAGAGACTGATTTATTAAGACCAAATCAGCCCACTATCTAAACCCATTACCAATAATCCCTTTCCTCAAAGCAGCCAATTTAATTAGTATAAATTATAGGAACCACATATTATAAATACAAAATGACCTTTTATCCCTTTTAGAATTGAAATTACTAAAAATCCCTTAAAATTCAAGGAAGCGGGATACATTCAAATGGCACGGGATACATAAGTCTAGATACATCATATTTTGCATCTGCTGCTATTAATTAGGAGTAATTACCGTGATTTCTGTTATTTGTAACTGAAATCACGTAATTAATGTTATAAAGCTTGTATAACTGATTAGTAAATTCAAATTTTAAATCAGATGATCTTCATAAATCAAAATTATTCTTATAAAAGTTGATCTGCATACTAAGAAATAAAAAAAAGTTTGAAGATGAATATCTCAATTCTGCTGCAGCATTCTGGAATTTGGGTAAGCGATGTTAATTATGAAGGTTACAAAGTTGATGGTATTGTTGTTGGCCATTCTATTTCATTTGTGAATCTGAAAACGTTGATTTTATCAGAGCTTGAGATCGACACTGTTACAAAGGATATTAAAATACGATACATTGTCGAGGAAGCTCATGTCCATTGAAAATAAAAAACGACATGGGTGTGAAACTTTATTTCGAAGTAAAAAAGAATGCATCTGAAATCGACATGTATCCGCTTTGTATTGATACAACTGATAAAATTTTATAAATAACTAGATTCAACAATGATGCGTTTTTAATGTAACAGTAATGCTATATGAGTTTGTTTGTGTATGTGATGTATCATATACATGCATATTATTGAAAATATGTTATATTTTACGTGTATATTGTCTTTTTAGTTATTCAAGTGTACAAAAAAATTGACTTGTTCAATTGTTTACTATATGATTCGTGTATACAACCTTATGAGTTATAAATTTGATATATTATATTCAACAGTGTTGGGTTTCAATGTAACAATAATTAAAGATGAGTTTATTTATGTATATTATGTATCAGATACATTCATATGATTGAAAATATGTTATATTTTTCGTGTATACTCCATTATGAGTTATTCTAGTGTCCCAAAACTTGACTTGTTCAAATGTGTACTACATGTTTCGTGTGTACTGCCTTATGAATTATAATTTTGATATATTACATTCTAGTGGTGCTTTGCACTGTAATATTAATCTGTGATTAGTTTGTTTATGTATATGATGTATCATATACATTCGTATAATTCAAGTTGCTAAATATATAACTGCAATATTTTTACATGTATATATTATAACTTATGTATCATATACATCATTTTTATAAGTGAAAAATACTTAAAACTCAAATAATAATGTATCATACACATTAGAACTTAAGTGTCATATACTTCATTTTATAAATTAGCTGTCAAAATTACTTAAACTGAAACACTAAAAAATTTGTACCTTAACTTTATAAAGCAACACTGTGTCTAAAACAATAACTTGAAAACACATAACATTAATAACTAACAAATTATTGTAATACCAATAAGCTTTAGAATAACACAAAAAATAATTGTCTTCAACATAAAACAACATATAAACTTGTTCATCCTGTCCCAGCTAATTACTAATCTATGTTAACAATGTCATCTTCAGTTGGTATTGTGAATTACCATCTCCAGATTTACACTCTTCCATAATATTTATAAACTCACACGATGAAGAGAAAGAACGAGACTAAAATGTTTACCCTTTAAAAACTTAGAAAATCTGGTTATAAAGAAGGAGACTCCTACAAAATATCAAATAGATATGGCTGCAAATTTGTACTTGAATTCAAATTTTATTAAAGTGCAAACGTGTGGAATGGGAAATTCAAATTAGACAATTATACACCTAAAATGTAAGAAAATAAAAAAGGAATAAAAATTAATATGACAAATTTTAATTGGGACTGTTAATGGGAAAGTGGGTAGCTTGAAAATAGGATTTTGTTTTAGTAAAGTAAAACTTGTCAATTGGGTGAGAATTATCTTTCATATTTTTTTAATTGGGGAGAATAAGAAATTTTTGAAAATTTTATAATAAGTAGAGATAAATGATTCTTAAGATAATTAAAGGAATATAGTTAAGTAATTTTTCCATTTAATTACCCAAATTCCATCGCACCTTATTTGCCCTGACCCAACCTATTTTCCAATTCCAAAGAGAAATTTAAAAAGTGTGACACCAACAGCAGTCCCAAATGGTGCGAACGGAGGAGGAACGACGCCTCGTGCAGCGAGACAACCCGGAAAGTGTCGATGCGTACCACACGTGAACAATGAAAGCGAGTACAACGGAAGAGCAAGGATAAAAAGGTCAGTACACTGCGATTTTTTGTTTTCTTCCTCCCGCTCCTTTCCATTTCGTACGACCCAAGCAGCAAAAGGAGCACGCCTTTGTCCTCTGGTGGCATGAGATTAAGACACGTCGAAGCCAAGGACATAGAAGTTGAGTCCAAGTCGTCCATTCTACTTTCCCGTTTCGGAATGGTTTGGAATCGTCAGAAAAAGTATTCATCCTGAAATGGTAAAAGGATTTGGGGTTTTCAAAATTTAAATTGGTTCTTGGCCTTACCTAATTCTACCCTCACCTCTTCCCCTTCTAAACCCTGTTTTCGTTCCTATATAAATTTTCTTTTGAACTTCTGCTGAGGAGGAGATTTTTTGGAGAAGGGAGAGAAAATTTTAGTCCTGATAATTCTAAAAACAAAAACGGAGGAGGAAGAGGGAGAAATTTTTGAAAAAGGCAAGTTATTAGATATTTTCTTTTTGGTTGGACATTTTTTTTTCTCGAACAAAGTAGAGAGAAAACTCCAACGCCATAATCCTTCATAGAACATATTGTAGAGGCTCTCTTTTTCGCATTTTTGAGTTTCATTGTAGGATCCGATTGAGCATTCACGTTCAAGTTTTGTGTTAGTGGAAGTGTCTCTCTGAACTCATCAACCATCCCAAAATCGCTGCACTATAAGAGGTAATAAACTTATCTCATTTTGTCGAATATATCATTCTCTATTCTAGTCACTCGAATGAAGTATCTCTATGTTGAAATGGCTATTGTGTTTGACTGCCATTGTCGTCATTCAATTGAGATTACATGATCAATTGTTGTGTTCTTAAGACTTTATTCAAGCTCTACTGTCTCACTTATCGAGTTTTTTGCCTTATTAGTTTTGTCTGGTTTGAGTTTCCTTTGCCATCTTGCATGTTCGTTTTCCAAATAAGTCATACTTAGCCTTTTGGCAAACATTTTGTTTTCGATGTGATCTTTTGATCTTTGGTTTGTTACTACTGCAGAAAATTTAGTACTGGACTGTTGGTTAATTAGTTTTGGAGTCTAAATAGAAGTATATTTCTCTTTGCTTGGTGTACATGTGTTTGAAAAGGTTTTCTAGCTTTAAAATTGTTAACCTTTGGCTTATTTCTAGATTTTGATGATTGCATTTGGTTTATTTCTCAAAATGTTCAACTCATCTTAGTCTATCTCCGTTTGTAATGACGTGATAATATTTAGTTTTAATTCTTTCTCGCTTGATGTCAAATGTGTGATTTGGTATGTGAATCTTGTCCTGAAGCTTGATGTAGTCTCTCTGCATGTCTATGCCTACTTTCTCCCTTCACTTGAAGTGGTGAAAAAAAAAACGCTAAAAACCTTCCCTTATCCATGTCTGAAATTTTCTGCAAAAATAGGAACATTTTACTGATCTGGTCAGCTGAAATTTTCTGTTCAAATACTCAAGCGTTTTTTTATTGATACACAGTTTCCTCAATGTCTTTGTCCAAATATTTATTGCATTTTAAGCTTAATGATATCAATCATAAGGGTCTGCTTTTGTCAGCATAAATATGCCCAGTTCCTTGTCCATTTAATCACTAATAGCCTTAACTGCCTAAGCTACCACTACGCTTTGGTGTTTTCTTTATTGTGTGAAGCGTCTTAGCATATGTAGTCATGTGTCCCTTGATTCGGTCGGTAGTTATGTTCATTTGATGTCCCCTGCATGTTGTTCGATGTTGCGAATCTTTGATCTATTGACTAATTTGCTCAAATGGTTTGTTGGCTTCTGGATATTATGTTGGGTTAGCAGTTAACAAGGAATCTGATCTTAGCTCTAAATGTGAAGATCATAATTGCAATTTTTCTTTGATAATTTGCCATTTTCATTTAAATTTTTCTAGCTTTGAAGAGTATGCTTTAGTCCCCTTGCCGTTTGTTATCCATGGCTGGAAAATTTATTTATTCTCTTGATACTCATTGTCGGTTTTTATTAGGTTACGTGATTTTTTAAAATCATTTAGTCATTAGTTGATCCTTGTAGTCTTTTTCTACGGTGTTAGCATTAAAGGATAGTAACATATATGCTTTCTCTACTTGACATCCTCTCACCTTGAATCAAGATTTATTATTCACTTTATTATTCTTTGTTTGCATGTAAAAATCCATCCAAGTCCTCGTGGACTTCGTTTTATTCCCGCATTTTCGAGAGTTGTAAAGGCTCAACGTCTCCATCAAGTCTCCCAACTTTAAAATTGACGGACAGTTTCCCAAAATCGAGGAAAATGGAGCCATTAAATAGTTGAAGTTTTTGGTGGCCAAAAACCTATATTTTGTATTTATTTATGTCGTATTTTGTTAGTTTTAGGCTTAAGGCCTTGTAAGTTTACTTATTTTTATTTCACTAGTTTAGGACAGGTACAAGTCGAGTGGGCCTAACACCTACAAACGGAAATGAGTCCAAACTGCGGTCCAGGCGGATAGAACCCAGGTTTGGGCCCAATCTCCCTCTCTCTCTCTCTCTCTCTCTCTCCCGGTATTTGCTTAATTAGTGTTATTTAATTGTCAATAATCTTAGGGTTAATGAATCGAAATCCCGCAAGACGCTATTTTGTTTTAAACAACTTAATTTAATCAAACCAAGCAAATGACTTAAAAGTAAATTTTACGAATTATAACTCACTTAGATAGTATGATTAATACTTAATTTTTAAAGCAACCTTATTTAATTTCATCTTAAAATTAAAGTAAGATCTTTTAGCCAAACGAGTTAGTTGTTGGATAATTACGAGTTAGTAAATATTTTAGGTTCCGTAAATTTTCCTAAAATATAAATAGGAATTTCGGAACCCCTTTAAAGTTTCAAAATGATTTTTCTGTTTAAGTCTTTTGAAAATATAGTTTTTTCTTATTTTCTTTTTAAAATTAAATGGCGACTCCAAAAAAGTCAAAATATATAAATATAATATTTTTCAAAAACGTTTAAAACAAAGTACTTATATAACAAATAATAATTTTGCAGAAACATAAACAATAAATTTTAAAGCATGTAATAAAAATAGCAATTAATGGCATAAGCATAAATAAATAACTGTAAAAAATATACCAAATCCTATAACAATAGAATGAAACATAAAGAAAAAATTGAGTCCACTGAAAACACAACCCCCTTAAGGAAATTATTTCACCTCTAGTACTTGAGGTTTAAAGGAATTGATCCTCTCAGGATAGAATGATTTTATTCACCAGTGTATTAATACAAAAACAATGGTATCAGTAAGTCATTCAACAGGAGCATAAAGTACACGATTATTTAATTATGCAAAAGAAGAAGAAGTTTAGAACTTTCGTCGTTTTAAAATGAGAGAAAATCCCCCTATTTATTGACCAAAAAAGTTAGCGTGAACAAATGTTTATTGTGCCTATTAGAAATGTCCTAACTCTTTGAAAAAGTCACGACCTTTCATAAAAGTTACAAACTTTTCATAAAAGCCGCAATCTTTTATAAAAGTCATAACTTTTTATAAAAATAATAATTTTTCATGAAATTGACAATGCTTTATATTTCATTCACATCTTTTAAAATCCAACAATGTGTACTTGACATATCAATTCAAAGCTCTAATAAATGAGATTGACCTTCAATCTATATTGTACCACCCCTAGACAAAAATGATTAAACTCGAATCACCAAAGGTAAAATAAGACTATGGAGAAACTGTAGAGTAATGCATCCAACAATGCAAGTATACATAGGATAAAAGGAGAAACATTCACAATTCCATAATTAAAAAGAAAAATTTCAAGGTATAACTTATATATATTCATCTGGGTCAACTAACTCACATAATTTGACCCAAAATTTCATTTTTGTATCAGTTGGTTAAAATTAAGTTTGGCATAGTATTCCTTCCTACTGGCGATCATTTGTTTAAAAAAATTCAAAGGGGGGTGATATTTATACATATGGAAGATTTGGTGGAGGCTTAATTTGTAATATGGTTGTGACAGTTGCGAAGGTTTCTCAGAGGATGGGAAGGCTAGTCATGAAAATAAATAAATTAAAAAAGAATTCTACTTTGTGATGGCGTCACGTAAGCGGGTCTAGAATTCTCTTCTATATATATATATATATATATATATATATATATATATATATATATATATATATAGGTTTCTCAGAGGAGGGGAAGGCTAGTCATGAAAATAAATAAATTAAAAAAGAATTCTACTTTGTGATGGCGTCTTTTTCATCACGGCAGTGTTCCTACTTGGAACCCTCATGCGCGGTGGCAAAGTCTTTTCAGCACCACTGTCTTCTCTCAAACTTGCAATAGTTGCTGCCGATGATAACCTCTTCCTCTCGTCGACCCACTCGAGCTTCATGGCTGTTAGTCTAGTATGTCCCTCCGTAGCTTGTGCCTTTACCATGGGAACTGTATATTTCTCTTCCTTTCTCCATGATTGTCAATTTTTGGAGATGAGGATCGATCACCGCATGGCACTGCTGGAAGAACTTCTGCCCAAGAATAATATCAAAGAGATTTATGGGGGCGATGATGAATTTGGTTTTTCCTTGCCAATCGCCTACCGTGATGTTCACCCCGTGCGCAACTCTAATTATGGGAGTCGATGGTGCATTGACAGTCCTGATTTGGGCGTTGCATGGACTATATCGCAACCCCAACCTCGTTGCTGCTGTCTTGGTCATAATATTGACCTCCGCACCTGTGTCGACCAACGCACGAGCATTTTTCCCATTGATCGTGATCTCGACAGATTGAGCACATGCCATAGACTTCGCAAGTCCCTGATCAGCATGCTTCGGCTGCGCTTGCCTTGGCTTCTCTTGCCTTGGCACCTCCGATGGTTGCTCGATGATAGCTCCGCATAGGTTTATCAAGCCCAACGGCTTAGTCTCCCCGACTTCATCTTCCTCTTGGGCTACCTTTTTCTTCCGCTCACGGAGGATAGCACCAAGACTCTTCAGTTGAGGGCACTTTTTATAGCTATGCGACCCTTTGCATATGTAGCAACCATCCGGATTCCTCACCGTGTTGCCACGATCTTCGAATCTCTTGCTGTTGGACTCGTAGGTGTCATGCCTCTTGGGTTGTGGCCGTTGCTCCTCGCCTTCGCCACAATCTTCCCCACTATCATCATGACTATCTACCTCGTTGTCTTCCTCGGCACTAAGAGACTTCTCTCGCCTGAAGTCTGTCAAGGCTTCGGCCTGCTTAATGGCTTCATCAAAAGTCCGGACCTGTCGCCGCTCCAACTCCGTTCTGGCCCAATTTTGCAGCCCATCCATGAAGTGGAACAACATGTCTTCATCCGTGAGGTTGGGAATCTGAAATGTAAGGGTGGTGAACTCCTGCACATACGCGCGTATGCTGCCCTTTTGTTTCAACTCCCTAAACTTGCGCTTTGCCTCATAGATGACATTGTTGGGATAAAATGCCTTCTTGAAATCCTCACGGAACTGCTCCCATGTGTTCAAAGTGCATATCCCCTTTCTGACGTCGGACTCTTTACGTTTCCACCATAGTATGACCATCTTCGAAAGATACGACACCGCAGTGTTGATCTTGTTCACATCACTTTGCACCCGAATACACTTGAAGTAATTCTCCAAGTGCCATAGGAAATTCTCCACCTTCTGTGCGTTGCGAACGCCTTCAAAGATAGGTGGCTTGGGAGTCTCGACTCTGGCCTCCCTTTCCCGGTCAAAAGTGATGTGGATCCACCAACCTCCCTGTCTTCCTTGAGTGCTGCCACTTCGGCGACGAAGGGACAGACTAGACTAACAGCCATGAAGCTCGAGTGAATCGACGAGAGGAAAAGGTTAACATCGGCAGCAACCATTGCAAGTTCGAGAGAAGACAATGGTGCTGAAAAGACTTTGCCACCGCGCATGAGGGTTCCAAGTAGGAACTCTGTCGTGATGAAAAAGAAGCCGCTGAGGCACTTGCCTCCTATGAAGGAAGAAGTTCAAAAGATCGGATCGAGAAAGGTCGGGCAATCGATGAAGAGGCTACTCGAAGGGATTAATCGAGTACGCGAGTTGATGATCGCACGACAGAACTTGACGCCGATACAGTCGCAATGCGACGCGGTCGTCGCATCATTAGGTGGGGGAGATTGTGACGTCCCGCCATCTATCCAGGCAGATGGCCACCTATCCAAGCAGATTGCAGCATGCAAATGGGGACAGGTGGCCCAAAAGTTCAGCAGACGAAGGGGCAGGCAGTCCTGGCATGCAGCAGACGGAGGGGCAGCAGCCTTTAGCCTTGGAGAGGCTTGTGCAGACCCTCTAGAACCTTGGGGCAGACTAGAGAAATCTAGGAGTCCCTTTTGGAAGAGTTAGAAACATTCTTGGAATGTAGACATGTCTTGAGTGCATGTATTTAGGGACTTATATTATTTGTTGGATTATTGGATGATTTACAAATACAATGACTCTCCTATTTATACTACTCTAATGACTAAGAGTAAATAAATGCTGCTATACAAGTCCCCTCTTCCAAAATTCTGTCTATTGTCTTTCTTCTTACTTCTCTTAGCGATCCAAACAGTGAGAGGCTTACTTGAGTTTACGAGATCGTGCAAGAATCATGAGTAAACCGTCAAGTGCCGCAGGGAGTCTTGTCAGAATCAAAAAAGCCGTGACAAGTGGTATCAGAGCAGGTTAATCGTAAGAGAATAACGAACGAAGGAGACGTAAGCGGGTCTAGAATTCTCTTTTATATATATATTGGACACCCATAGTAATTAGTTGCTTAGGTTATGGAGTTGTTAATGTAAAACCGCTCTTTGAAGTTACTGAAAGTTGTTTTTGAAATCCTATATTTTGTAGGTCTTCTTCCTTTGAGCAAGAAGGTTTTCCATTATAAAAATTGGCATAATCGTACAAAGCACATTAAATTTAGTTATATTATTGTCTCATCAATTCTTTACATTGTATCAATGAATTGTGTATGGTTATAAGAAGAAAATCATAAAACATACATACCAAAAATGAAGTATTGAAGAAAGACAATAGCTTAACAATTTTGAACTTGCTAGCTAGTGACCACATCCACGGTAACTTGTCCCGAGTATGCTTTTTGTATAACGGAATTTTCTACTATTTAAATGTCTACATGTATACACTCAAAATTGAAGAGTATAAATATTAGATAAACTCAAGTTAAACACCATGTTTATGTAGTATTGTTCAACAATACCTTTGAACTTGCTACCTAGTGACCTCGTCCACGATGACTTGGCCCGGAATATGCTCTTTGTATAACAAAATTCTCTACCATTGATGAGAAAGTTTGTTCTTTAAGAGGTCTCAACCCCTCAACTTGCATCAAGTTATTGGAAAAGAAAACAAAGAGAATTATTAACAAGACATTTACAACCAACAAACAAGAGTTGAAGCACTTCATATTATTTTTTGTTAAGAAAAAAAATGAAGTATTGTGTTTGCAATATTTTTTGGGTAGAAGGATTATGCCTATATATAAAGGTGATATTCAGGAGTCAAGTAGGTATATTTCTTTGACTATTTTGCTTTAAGGTGTAGGAAGCAAGAAGTCATCTTATTCATACATTTGAATTTTCATGTTTGAAAATGTTAAATGTGCATTTGAATGTTAACGATAATTTTAGTCAAGGAATGAGGCATATTGAATATTATTACTAGATATGTTCTATAACAACATTTTCCTTTGTCAAATATCCAAGATTTAGCTTTTTTGATTAAAGTTTCACATAACTTTTTGGCTTCAAAGAATGATCTATATATGTTCTCTATATAAAAACAATAGAGTTTGACTTGTGTACATCAACAATATGCAAAGAAAACAGATTAACTTATAAATTGTTTTTTGCACAACCAATCACTTAAGGTATTTTTTTTTACATACAAGCTTTCCTACTAGGTGAGATTTGTACTTTAAAATATGATAGATTATCTGCTATAAGAAATAAAAAATAAGTATGTGATGATAAAAAAAATTATTACGTGAGTGTATATATCTTAAACTCAAAAGAAAACTTTTATATTATCAGGCTACTCAAATAACATATCTTATAGTAAACCTCTCATAATTGATCAATAATTTTTAAACAAAACATGTCACCTATTAAAAAAGTAAATATAATCTAATATTATATATTGATATAAAAAATAAGGTTACACACTCGATGTATATGAGCTCAATAATTAAGGGAAAATTTAATCTCATTTGTCAAACTCTAGTTGGAAAAAGTTTTTTTTGAAACTTATCATATCAATAGATAACAAATTTAAAATATATTTAAATTAATCCTAATACTACGATCATTTGAAAAAGTAAAATATGAGATATGGTTTAATATTCTCATTACCTACCAATGCAATTATCAATAAAATACTATTTATTGGTGGAAGCATGCTTCCATTTCTCCAACCCTACCCACTTTTAAAGACCCAATTTCACTTTACCATTACGACACTCAATTGGTTTTTCCTATTCAATTCCATATCTCACTAGATCTAATTTTTCCCTTTATCAAAATATATTCTTTACGCAGCCCCACATATATAGTTGAATTAATATTCATTTTTGTAATGTGACGCAATTCTTAATAGTAGTATTTTCCTCCAAATAATGGTCAAAGCTTACTAATATTCTACCTTGTATTTAAGAGGATGAATTTGCAAAATGAAAAAGGGTCAAATATTTCTTTAATTTGAACTATTAAAATAGTTTAAATATGTATTTGTTGGTATAAGTATACACTCATATGTTATTGTTTTGGTTTAAATACACATCTCTCATTATAATAAAGAGTACCTTTAGATCATATTTAAATGGGAAAATTATCTTATTAAACATATATAGACTTATCATATATACTAATTCTATCTATAATTTCCAATAATTATATATTTTACTATTGATTAAAAATTTTCTATTGTATATTGAGAAAGATACACCCATATATATTTGAATATTCATTTTTAATTTGTATCCTTATCGAGTTTGATGCAAATCTTAATCTAATATTAGCAATATTTTCCACCAAACAATGGTCAAAGCTTACTAATATTCTACCTTGTATCTAAAAGGGATGAATTTATAAAATGGAAAAGGATCAAATATATCTTTCAACTATCAAAACTAGTTTAAAAATACCACTCCTTATATTTGTTGATCCAATTATATCCTCACGTGGTATAATTTTGGTTTAAATATACCTCTTCCATTATAACGATATTTAAACTATAATTAATGGAAAACTATGTTATTAAACATATATTTAAACTATATATACTAATTTTATCTATAATTTTAAATAATTACGTATTTTACCACCAATTAATAGTTTCATATCATATTTTGAGGGAAACCACCTAGATACATATGTATTTCTACCAGATACGCTAAATTAGGAAGAGAAATGAGCTAGATAGGGGGGGGGGGGGGAGATAGTCTTGCATGCGAATCACCCTCGCTACACATTAGATACATGTATCTGTATGAATTTCGCGCAATTTACATGTATTTGAGATACAAGATACAGAGGAAATTGACAAGTGGAATGAGAAGGAGGTGAACAAGATTTGTTTACTTATAAATATACATGCGAATTTACGAAATACAATGTATAAAGAACAAATTATACCTAATTTTGACCTGAAATATCTAGAGATGTATGTATCTGGACATATCCGGATGCATCAAATTCTGGTAAGATTCATAATATGTAAACTAAAGTATACTTAAGTAATTTGCTTCCAAACTAGTGATATTTCTGCTAGTTTTCCTATTTAAATTGATGATAAAAAAAAAAAGTTGGAGTAGATTAGGGTACCATGAATTTTTCAAAATGTCAATATTTTAGCATTTAAAAAGGCTCATTAGCAACACTTTCAATATTTAGTAAAAATGTCATATTTTAGTTTGTTATGTATCTTATTAATGTTTTTATTATTTGTTTTTATTTAAAGAATATATTTATTTAATAACAAAAGGGATAAAATTAAGGGAGAGAATATTTCAAAAAAAGGTAAGCATCCTTAATTTTCTCATCAGTTACATTTTCAAATAAAATTTAATTTTTTTTCTCTCCAAAATTTTTACCTTTTTAAAATTATATTCCTTCCAAAATATATTCTATTTATATTTATTATAGTTTTTTTATAATTTATATTCATTCCAATAAATATGCCAAATTTATCTATATAGTCATTTAAGAAATGTATTTGCATTTTTATATATTTTTTTCCCTATATAGTTATTTTATTCTTCGAAATTCTTGTATGTATTCATTTCAATATGTATTTTATTTGTATTTCTATTTATTCCAGTTTTTATTTTGAATTTTGTATAATAATATATAAAATACAAAAAATTAGTATGATGAAAAAGTGAATGAAATATAAAATTGAAAAGAAATAATTGAATATTTGGTGTACTCATTCTTAAATAAAATACATAACTAGTTGACATACTTTTAGAATAAATACAAATTAAAAAAAATGTCAAATTCAGAAACAATGCAACATAATTTTTGAATGAATACAACTATTAATTGTATAAATATATACTGACTAAAACAGTATTAAAATTCAATATATACTTCCAAATTTATGAATACAAAAAATAATAAAACTATGAAATACAAAAATAAATACTAACTGTGGTACATTGACATAACTATCAGAAAAAAACAGAATACAAATTAAATTAAATAAATGAAATACGATTCCAAATCTATGGATACAAAATACAATATAACAATGAAATACAAAAATACATACTGACTAAAACAACAACAAAATTCAATATACACTTCCAAATTTATGAATACAAAAAACATCAAAACTATGAAATATACACAATCAAACTCATATAATGTGTTACATTGACATAACTAACACACACAAAAAAAAAAATAGAACACAAAATACAATAAATATATAAAATACAAAAATAAATACTAACTATAACATAATAAAAATTTCATATATACTTCCAAACGCATTGTAACATGAATTTTTTTGAATCTTAAAAATTGCTAGACAAATTAAATTAAACATGCAAGACACAGAACATGCAAAAAAAAAACTCTTCTCCAACAAATTGGTCTTCTTCAACTTCATGGTTATTAATTTGTGTGGGATTTTGCACATCGACAGATTCAGGCATTTTTCCCCGTCGTATATCCTCCTTAGAATTTAGAAGCGAAATCTATATTGTTGTTTAATTCTTGAGTGAAAAAAATTTGTGTGGAATTTTGCACATCGACAGATTCAGGCATTTTTCCCCGTCGTATATCCTCCTTAGATTTAGAAGCGAAACCTATATTGTTGTTTAATTCTTGAGTGAAAAAAATTAAATGATAAAAAACGGAAGAACTTTGATTATTTTGTCCAATACCTCTAGTTTCTCTCTTGAAAACGTCCATTGAAGAGAGAATTATGTAGTCTCAAATCCTAAAAAATGTTTTAAGAACAACAACAAAATTTAAAAAATTAAAAAAATACTAAAATCAGTAAGTAAATAAATAAGGAATCTAAAAAAATAATAATACCCAAATCAATGTTAATCTTCATATCAAATTTTGCAACGAAATTAAATGAGAATAATAGAAAATATTAATATATTGAATCGAAAATCTGTGAAATTGATTTGGAAGAATGTTAGATAGAGAAATTGAAAAGAAGAATAAGAAAAGAGAGAGAAATCTGGGGATTTGATTAGGAAGAAAATAAGAGAGAGAAATTAATAAGCTTAAGAAAAGAGAGAGAAATTAATAAGCTTAAGGAAAATGTGTAATATATGAGAGAGAAAAAAAGGTGTAAATAATGAGAGAGAAAATATTAATAATATCAGAATAATTATTTATTTTTAAAATTATGACATTTTTGACATATTTAGTAATATTATTAATTTATGGATATTATCACTAAATAAGTTAATTTTTTTGACTAGTTAGCTAAATTTTCCTTAAAATTATGGCAAATGGTTTAATACCTCAGTTGCTTAGTGATTTAAATGTTCTTGATCGGTAACAGTCATTTTCACCAATTTCCCTCTTGCCATAGGTAAATTCTGTCAAAATAATACCACTCCTATTATACGAGGGCATTGAACAACAAATATAATTACCCCTATAAAAAGAGAAAATATTGAAAATATTTCTAAATTTGACGTGAATTATTAGTTCTGTTTCAGACTATTGACAGTCTTAAAAACACCTTTTTACTTGACTAATGAAACTTAAACACACCACGATCTAGCAACATGAGTGAAATACACCCTCAAATTCGTGCCAAATCTAGGTGTGTTTTCAACATGAATATCAACTTCTTATTAAGAGTGTCAAGCCTCTACAAGAGTTTGAGAGTACTTCCTATGTTATTTGGCATATCGGATTGTATATAAGTTTAGCGAGTCAAGTAGATGAGTATTATAAAGATTGTCAATAGTTCAGAATTGAAACTAATAATTTACCCCAAATTAAAAAATATTTTCTAAAACTTTTATCACAAATTAAAAAGATAGTATTTGAAAACAAAATGGAGGAATTTAGAATGGTTAAGTATCTAGAATTTTTCCAATGTAACACTTCATTTTCACGCACTTCCATAAGACTACGTTTTATCTAGCATTTAATGACAAATATA